CCGATTGAGGTAACTCCAAAACATGCGTTTTGAATGCATCAACCGCTTCTTCGGGGGTCGAAAATCGTTGTCCACGTAATTTATTTTTGATGTGTGGGAATAAGAAGAAGTCATTGGGTGCCAAATCAGGGCTGTACGGCGGATGACCCATCAGTTCGATCTTTCGCTCCGTCAGAAATGCCTTTGTTTGAGTCGATGTGTGAGAGCTCGCATTGTCATGATGAAGAATGATTCGCCTGTTCTTCTGCTTTTTTCGAATTTCTCCGATGACTTCTGGCAAACAAATGGTCGTGTACCATTCAGAATTGACCGTCCTGCGTTGCTCTAACGCCACTGTTGCCACATGACCGTTAATGCCGAAGAAACAGGCAATCATTTGTTTCGATGTGCTTCTTCCTCGAACAACTTTTGTTGGTTTTGCCTCGTCTTGGAAGACCCATACAGTTGATTGCTGTTTTGTTTCCGGCTCATATGCATAGATCCATGATTCGTCACCTGTGTAGATGTTATACACAGCCTTTGATGTACCTTGAACGTATTTTTCCAACATTTCCTTGCACCAATCGACACGAGCCTTTTTTTGAGCGTTTGTCAGATTATGCGGGATCCAACGCGAACAAATTTTTTTTACGCTCAAATGTTCATGCAATATTTTATTGATGCTAGTCATACTAATGTCCAAAGACGCCTCTATCTCACGGTATGTCACATGACGATCTTGCTTTATCAGTTCACGCACAGCATCGATCTTTTCTGGCACAACAACGGATTTTGGACGACCTGCACGGGATTCGTCCTGGATCGAACATCGACCACGATTAAATTCGTTATACCAATTTTTTACAGTGCTATAGGATGGCACTTTATCGCTAAATAAAGAATTAAGTTCATCGAAGCACTCTTGTCTTGACAATCCACGTCGAAAGTTGTGAAAAATAATGGCACGAAAATGTTCACGATTCAATTCCATTTTTTTAAAGAGAAGAACTTTTCAATTTACTGTCAACAACACAAATGAAGCTATAATGATAAATAGTCTGCTGAATTTATGTTTAAAAATATCAAACTTTCGATTAAAATCGTCTGCGGTCGCCTAGCAACACTTACTGTTGCCAAGGCCAGAAATGTAAATAACAACCCTCGTACTATAAAACTTACTGCGTTTCTGGCCCTATGAGAACACTAAAAATCTCGCTAATTTTTACCGAAGCGCTTTGGTAATGGTTTTGGTCAAACTAACAATAAAATATGTTTTTATAATATGTGATAAAATCTGGCAAATGGGGTAAAATTTGGTAATTTTTTTCATGATTTCTTGAAGCTTGGCATGAATACCATTTATTCGGTTAAATTTACTTTTCAGTTTTGTATTTTTTACTAAATGTATGGTAATAAGAACTATAATTTTGTAAACCCGAATCACTTGTAAACCGTTACCATATGAGCGACCAAATTTTCAAATGAATAGTTTAAATACCATGGTATAACTGATTACCAAATGATACATTACCCAATGAATGGCTTAAAAACTGTATATTTTGTTTTTATTGACAGAATTCTTTTATAAACCAGAAATGTTATTACCATTCAGCAGAAATTTTTTCTCCGTGTACATTTCGATATTTTTACGACAAATATTTCAACAATATAAACTTCATAACTTATTCTAGGTTTGTTTGAACTCAATTTTTCTGTACTTTAAATTTTAAATTACCCATGTACATGGAAGGGAATTCACCATCGTAATATCGATATTAAAATGTTAAGAATCTATTCAGATAACGCTTTTCCTCAAAATTATTTTAATGAAAGATTAAATTCGTAAGAAGGAGAGAGAGATAATAAAATTTATTGTTTGCTCCATTCTGCTTAGGAAACGAAAGGTTTATCCTCTTTAAATTTCACCCAATGTACTGATTAGGAAAAACTATGAAAAAACGTTTTTAAAATGACCACCATTTGCATCAACAATATGATGTTGTCTGAAGGCGAAACTGACACCATTGCAAATACTTCAGTAGGAATGGTCCGATATCCAACAGAAAGCATTGTTTAATAGTTTACTTTCCAGTCAGCAGCACTATCTGTTGACAAATTTTGTAACCAATTTTAAAACATGGTAAGGTTTCCTGAGCTGAACTTAGAAAACTGATTACTTTCTATCTTTCCAGTTTATCTTAAATCATCGTTTACATTTTGGAAGCCTTGCACTTTATTTAAATTTCTTGTTAAAAAGTTACTTCAATTTATTACATTAAAAATAAGATGTCTGTTTTTATGAACAATGATTAAAGAAGCTAAATATGAACTTAATGACTTTGAATTTATTAAGAATGATTACATGGCAATACCGTGAAATACATTATTTCGTTTTAAGTTCACAAAAAAATCTTAAATGTGGACTCAGTTTAAATATCTAACATCTTTTCAAAGACCTGCGCTTTAACTATCATAAAACCTTTCAGCGTCTGTAGTCATTAGTTTCCTTTCATTTTAATGCCTAAAAGCTAAGAAAAAAATGAAACTAATTTAGCAAAATGAAAATTTTAATTTCATAAGCTGTCTTTAAAAATTTTTCTTACAGGAATTCTTTGCATTCTTGACTTAGTTTATTTTGCTGGACATTAAAAAACTGAAAAATATATGACTAGAATTTTTTTATGAGAAGGTGTTTTTGTGAAATAAAATGCAATCTTAATTATTTTGAAAAACGTTTGACGGAGTATTTCAACGCTATGCCACGCGAAGAAATATTAAGTAACACAGAGAGATTATGTTGCTACCTGCTTTCCTAATTAAAATAAAGTGACAAAACTACTTTTGCAATGTTTATAAGAAGTAATTAATAAATAAATAAAAACTAAGAAGATTATAAAATGAAGTTGACGTTTCATCTGGATCAAAAATAAAACATAACTACATTTTAAATAAGTCTCGAAATATGCATGTTCAAACATTATACCATATCTTGGCAAATAACCCAATCTTAGTCTGGTACATAACCATGGTTTTTTTTAAAAATTTCATTAGATATTTCAAATATTTCAAAAATATCCAAATAAATTCTTTAATTTTATGAAATCACAAAAAAAAATTGATTTTTTAGCAGTTTATTTAAAAATTAATTTTTAAAATTATATTTTTAGTTAACTATTATGAATTTGAATATTGTTTTTAAGAAATACATGCTAATCAGAAAATAAGGTATAATGTATCTTTTTTTAAAAACATCAGAAAATCTGGTTAAAATTCGCTTAGATTTTTTTGTTGAATTTTTTTTATTATCCTTTATGATATTTTGTAAATTTTCTACTTAGATACTTCTTGAGAAATCAGTTTTTTAAATGTGTGACTTTTTAAAGTTATATAAGTCAGCAATTAATCAATTCAATTTGTTCAATTTTTGCATTGTTCAACAAAATAGTATACTTTAAAGTGATGCGACAATTTATATAACTTAAATTAATTAATAATTAAAAATTTCTCGACTGTTACTAAATAATTTATCTATAAATAAATTATAAATTTTTTTATAAACATCTACATAAAATTATCTTTAGCTAAACATATTTTATAATTGTGTGCAAAATGTTTTCTATTCGTTTATGAAGCTTTTAAGAAAAAACAAAATACTCAAAACGTGAAATTAAGGGGTCCCAACTTTCGACTCCTGCTTAAAATATTGTCATCATATTTTCTAAGTTGCTGTTATCCCTCTTCCTATTTTGAAGATCAAGAATCCGAATCCATAGAAATATAACCATGTTTATTCAGAAAAATTATGTTTTTGCGTCTGATTTTGTAATTTAAAATATCGTGTGCGCTAATTAGCATATGTTAGGATTTTGAACCATTAAGGTTATGTCCAAGCTTGTGAAAATCTAATCATTAGATCAAAAATTATTCATGGTGTTCACTCTTTTGTGCACTGTACGCTTAAAAATTTTAGATTTCTTTTCACAGTGAAAATTACACTGTGAACTTAAAAGAGCGCATAATAGTTTCCTCAATTAACATGTAAAAGAAAAGCTTTATTAAATTTTGCTAAAACACATGTATAATATCTCATGTCCTGCAGTGGACTGATCGTTAAGACACGGTTCCCAGCAGATCACCGAAGTCAAGCATCACTGGCTGCGGTCAGTAAGTGGGAGGGCGGCCATTTAGATCTGTCTGCGTTGGCACCGAGGGGGCGTGGTATCGGTCCTCGTTAAACTTTCTACCATAAAGTGCTCGATTTTGCGGGCTACCAAAGCTTGGGAGTCGTTCCCTTTGCATGGGATCAAAATTGTGTCTTCAGATCATCCTCAGAGATGTTTAGTGCAGCTCTAGTGCGACGTAAATAAGAAAAAAACCTACCTACCTGAAAAAAGCTTACAGTTGATTTTTGCTCTATAGCTTACTAAACTGTTTGGTTGCTAAAATTTATTACACCTTATAAACTACAAAGTATATCACATATTTCGATAAATGTATTTTGAAAAATAACAATTAATGGTTAAAAGTAGTTATGATCTGCGTTGAGAGATAATCCTCTTCGCAAGTAATCAAAATCAATAATTACAAGTAATCATGGTTATCTGTAACTATGATTACAGCTAATCAATTATTGTGTTTACATATAATCATGTCTTTTAATCGTGAGTACTCGTAATCAGGATTAAAAGTAATTTATTACCTAGTAATTTTTATCTCTAATTGATTATAATTGTAATCAATTCCTTTAATCGATATCTAACTCTGATGTTTACGTGGCTCTTAACCATTTCGCCCTATTAAAAAAAACTGTCATTTATTAAATAATATCCATACATTAAAACGAAAAAAGAAACTATATTATATGCGTAAGTGTTTATTCATTATGATAAACATGAAAGTATTTCGAATTTAAGAGACAAACATAAAACAAAAGAGAAAGCATATTATGTACACCAGAGTAAATTTATTTTGATAAACTTGGAATTAATCAGAATTTAATATTTATTCTGATAAACGTGAAATTATTTAAACACTTTGCATGCATAATAGCACCAAACTTGGGAAGACTTCGTAAATGAGCTAGATACTTGAATGTATGCACATCATGGTTGTTGCAGATTCTAGAAACGAGCAGTTCTCTTACTAGATCATCTGTTAGGTTATCTATTATTACTAACAAGCAGTATTGTAGGGCACCATTGATTGGAAGGGAAGCTAATTCCGTGGCCAATCGAGTCATTGATCTCTTTCTCTCTACAGGCAGAGCTTCCACTTTAGATTGATCTTATAGAGTGTTAGACACACAATCCTTTATTACACTGCAATATTCAAAGCTGAAGCCTGTATGATAAGATATATTGAAATGCTTCGCTTAAAAACAATTAAATAAAAAATTTAAACATGTAAATGTTAAGATATACATCATTATAACATAATAAAACGTAAATAGAAAAGTTTGAAAAAACAAATTTTCGGAAACTTTTTTTATATATTTAGTATTTATTGACCTTAAAAAATAAGAATAAACTTACCAAATATTCGTTTTTAGTCATTTATCAATTCAAAAAAGGAGAGATTTTAGAAGAGAAAAGCCATTGAATAGCACCAGCAGTTACGAATGAATAGAAACTGGCTATCAGATTCTTAAGAAATGATATCCACTTTTAGATAAGTGTACGCACAGCACCAGTATAGATTTAATATATTCTTTTGAAAAAAATTATTTTGTTAGATTTAAATCAGTTTTTTAATTAAATAATTATATTTTAGTGATTTTTTTAAAAGTATAATATATTCAACATACTAGTAATTTGTGATACTTTATTAAAAAATACATAACGAACATTTATATAATACAAGTAGCAGTCTGTTAAAAACATTTCTAATTTAAAGAAAAAGAATCTGATATATACTTGTAAAATATATCAGAAATTTAATTGATAGAAGAAGAAAAAACTAAAAATTTTCACTAATATAACTTGGTCAACGAAACTTGTAAGGAAATTGTATACTACAGATGATCTATATATTTCCTAAATTAATAAAATTTTACCAAATGATTTCACTTTATTTCAAAATCATAGGGCGATCAAGAGTAGTCTATACTCTTCGATAGTAATTATGTAAAGCAAATTGAATTTTAAAAAAAATATTTATCTGAGTTTTTTTTCAGCTTGACAAATTTCTCAAAAATTGTGTAATAATAGTTGCAATCGTAATAATATCTTATTATTAAGTGAAACTGAAATAGTATCTTAATTATGGGAAAATCCGTAACAAAAACTGCTGATCGATTAAACCTTATTGGTTTAAAATTAAATTGTCGCATTATCGCTTTTCGAGAGTTTTAAAAAGTGATTACTGAAATTTGTAGTTTAAAAATTCTGGTCTTGTAATACTTAAATATTATAAACATCGAGATTTGAAAAACTATTAGAAAATTCATAACAATAAATTCCAAAACAGCAATCGACAAGACCACGTGAATATATGATTGAATCACCAGGAATAATTATTCAAACATATATTCACATGGAATACATGATTGTACTTATCATACATTCCATAAGTACAATCATATATTCCTTGTGAATATATGATTAATTTTGTGAAAATCCGTAGTGCTTAGTAAAATGCACGATTCGAAAAAAACATTTTCGACTGCGAAAAAGCATTTTCCTTATTATTTTAAAGCTGAAGAATCTAAAACCAAACTTATTCCGTCCATTAAGAAAAATTTCCCATTAATAATAGAATAATTTTCTTCAATTTTTCTATTTCAATTTTCACTATACACTTTCTAAAATAATAATTTTAAACATTTGGTTTATTGTACCTTGAAGTTTTTCATTTTATTCCACACTGTAGAACCTGACGCATATCCTGTTTTTTTTCATGGATCAATATCTCCCTATAGAAAATCCTTTGTGATAGCTACTAAAAAAAAAAGATAAAATTGTTACAATATATTAGTTTCCCTCTTTCTCGGATTTCTAGATTTCACACCTACACAAAATTTGAGGCTGAAATTATTTATTGTTGCCAGATTATTACACGCTAATCTTGAGCTCAAGGCACAAGATCTTCAATTATATCTCACTTATTGTTAATTGTTTTTTTGAAATTGGTGAGGAGCTTAATTTCAAATGTTCCGATATCTATTCAACAAGTATCATTATAATTGGAAAAGGAAGAATGGATTTAAGATTTTTTTCAATGACTGGAATTCTTATAGCTAGACGTAGTTTGGTGACAGGTTGCAGTTTGTAATTGAATGATACAAGAAATATACTAAAAGGTAACGAAATAAAAACTTCCTTTCACAGTTAATTTAGAGTTCATCTTTAAGGCATTAACTAGCTTTTTATTCGGCTGAACCTCTTCTTTATCATATGTATTCTTTTTCCTTGTTTTTAAAACTCTTATCTGTTTAAGGCTTGGCCAAAGAATACCTAAGTTCTTTGTTCGCAAAGGTTTAAGCTATCTATTATATGCAATATTGATGGCAAATATCCATATATTTAATGAAATAAATAGATTTGGATTGCTAAATATGACACTTTTATAAAGTTATTTTTTTATTACCTGCCATATATAACCAGTTAAATTTTTGCTAAAATCTTTACTTTCGTTGGCTCAAAAATTATTTCTTGTTGATAACTTTGCAAATGAACTAAAAAAAAGTTATATTTTTATCTTTAACCCTTTCGCGCCGACTGTCACGAATACGTGACAGCAAAAAACCGTATCAATCAGGGTAAGAAGATAAAACTGGTAATCAAAGTATTTCTTTAGCAGTTTATTTGTAGGCGGAGTTATAATTTTTTGATTTATTTAATTCACCATTACTTTGTTCAAAATAAAACTATTTAGTTATACTTTGAATTAACATTGATTATATATATGATTAAACTAACAATAATTAAAATAAAAGCAAAGTAAGTCTGTCAAATTAGTAACGATTACATTTAAGTTACCGTTTTTTATTTAATTGCAACTTGATTCTGATTTTGTACGAATGCTTTTCTGAATCACCCGTCCCCAAGGGGTTAAAGAACTGACGCGGTTTATCAATAATTTACGTACCTAGTTTAGTTTTATGCCAAAAACAACGATTATTGCGAATTGGGTTAGTGAGAAACAGCGAAAAAGCTTATCCCCTTAGTAATAAATAAGACAAAACAAAAGCAATACAACTATCAAGATTCTGATGCAAAATAAGAAATCTCGGTTTGAAAGAAACTTCTAAATGCAATAACTGAACTGATTTCATTATCATTCTCTTTCACCACCATAATCCGCCCCATTATAAAGCTGCATTTCAGAACTTTCTAAGATTTAGGAAGGAGCTCTACAATAGGTAAAGAACAATATTTAGAGCAATGCAATGCATAAAACTTCCATCAGTTAGGGGGGAAAATTAGCTGACAAAGCAAAAAATAGGCAGATCCAAACAATTCTAATAAACAATTTCAGGTTGTTGGGCTATTCATGGAATTGTATGTTCTTTATTCAATTACAGCAAACTTCAAGATAACAAGATGTTCTTTATTTCCTTGATAATTCTTGGTTTTCTAAAGCTAAATATAGCTAGCCATCTTCATGGACAGGGAGTGAGATGAAAGGGGTGAATTATCGTCTTCTTATTGCTTCTCTTTTTTTTCCCCTCCCAAATGTCTCTGCGATGTGGATGATTTTTTTTAATCCTTTTAGCGCCAGTAATGGGTCAATGTGTATCTTTCGTAGAAAGTCATGGCGATAACGGTCCTAGATAATTTGGCCTAGAAAAATCGTTTCTCTCGTAAATCAACCAGACATGGGTAGATCTTTCGTTCAGTTTTTTCTTGGTTATGTTTAAAAAACACGCGTAATGTAATGAATCTGCAAGAGAAGATTATTTCTGCTGAAACATTCTCTCTTTTTATCATATCTATACAGAATAGTTTTAGTTGTTCTGAATAGATAAATCAATTTATATAGAACACGTGTATCTATACTGCTTTAAATTAAAAGATAAAGGAATATAGTAAAGAAAGTTCTAGATAATTTTAGTCAGAAATTATTCCTGACGCTTTAATGAAAAATTATAATTTATTTTGGTAACATAAATTTTCTTTCGTCGATATTTTTAACATCTTTCATTTATTTAGTTAATTTTTTTCATTAATAGTCATTCTTTCATTTTATTGAATCATGGTAAATATCCAAATCTTGCTGAAAAATTGAATAAAATATTTGCTTAACTCTGATCTTACTTTTTGCAAGGAAGCTAAACCCCTTATTCGCTTCCACTCACTAACCCTTGCATTTTTAACTCTAAAATTAATCTATTAAAATTCATAATGTACGCAAATTAAACTATAACTGAATTAAATATAAATAAGATGAAATTAATTAATAGCTTAGACATTTAGAAAAAGTTTCAGAAGTGAAATGTTTACTTATACAATTTATTTGCATTCCTCGCATCCTGTGACACCATTTGAAGCGTGCTAATAAACAAAGCTTTAGAGCAAATTTAAAGGTACAGGATTCTCGCGTTTTAATTCAAACTCCTCGCAACAACAATGATATTCAGAGGTTTTCTAATTAATTATACTTTGAACTGATTTAAGGAAATAACCTTTAAATATTCATTAATCAAATTTCCAAACATTTTGCCTTTGTTTAATTTTATGGTTGAAACAATAATTTAACTCCTTCCAATAATAACAACAATGTTTTCAAGAGTTTTGTGAAATGTTCGTGCAATCTACTTAAAATTTGAAGTTGTAATTTTAAAACTACCAAACCCAATCCTTCGCACTTAATTTTGCCACACGCCATGAACTTAAAATTATAAATATTTCATTAGTTTCTAAAATAAATCAGGGAACACTGTCATTAGATAAACAATCTATGAATAACAATTTTTGTATTTTAAATCCTGAGTTACACGAAGAAAATAATTGAAAGTCAACACAAATTAATTTCACGCTCTGAAGCTTTTTGCTTTCATAATCGGTGACTGTGTTAATGTGTTTTGATAGTCAAATATTTTAAAGTCGAATGAGCTTAATGAGATTTAAATTAATCTTTAAAATACTATATCGGCAGTAAAGAAAAACATACAGACTTTGTTATTAAAGCCTTTACTAGAGAAAATTTAGTTACTGAAATTTTTCAGGAATTATGACACGTAATTAACTTTTTAAACATTTATAACAAACCAAAATAAATTATACACCATGTCTCTTATACAGGAAAAAAAAATTAAAGAACAAAACATTTTAACATTTAGAGAACCTATATATATTATTCTTAAATAAGTGGGCTCCTCTCATAACTTGCGAACGCTGTGGTAACTAATGAAAGGCAACCTGCTAAATTTATATAGTCCACTTTGCTTTACGCCAAGGTAGTCATGTTTGTCCTAGTATTGACAATATAAGTGATTGCAAGACATTACAACAGGAATAATTGCAGAATATAGAATTCTTATGTTCTTTTTTTTTTTTTAAACGGAGAGTCAGAAAAGTTATGTACTGTGCGCGCAAAATAAAAAACGAATCATCCTGAATAACTGATGAACTAATGATTGGGTTTTCATGCATTAGCTGGACTCAATTTTATCTGTTAGAAGCGGTGGCCTTAAATACGTTAATTAATTAATGCAAACAATATTTTAAGCAATGAAATCAGACGCAAAAGCGCACTTTCTCTGTATAAACATACATTTTTTTTGACGGATTCAAATTTTTGACCCCAAGGGGGCCACAATCTGAAAAATACGGTCCCAATTGTTTGACCAAGAGAACAGTGTAAAATTAGGACCCCTTAATGATAATTTTATTTTTTGTGAAATTCGTCATATTTCAAGAACTTCTTAAACGGATTGAAAAAATTTTGATGGGAATTATGAAATTCCTTTTCCAAAAAAAAAAAAAAAAAAAAAAAAAAAAAANAAAAAAAAAAAAAAAAAAAAAAAAAAAAAAAAAAAAAAAAAAAAAAAAAAATCCATGAGAAAAATAATTTTTTGTAAATATTTATAATTTGTTTTCCATTATTTCATTTAATAATAGGCGAAAAATTCCAACTTGTAAGATATACAACTTTTTACATCACTTAAAAAATTTGATATTACATGGGAAAATAGAAATTTTGTAATCGGTCAAACAGTAGTACCTGAGAAATGATATTTTAAAAATTCGATTTTCTTTTAAAATTTGATTTCTCGGGAAATCAATTTCGCTCGACCGATTTCGCTCAAAAAATCACTTCGATCGCCGATTTCTCTGAGTGAAATACGAAAAAAATTTAATTAACATTAAGGAATCAAAAGTTTGGACCGCTCTCTTGGCCAATCGAGAACCATTAATGAGTCGCGGTACATAAAGATCTGATCATTTCTTCAATAGTTATTCAACATGCCGGTAATTTTTATAATTATTTATTTTTATTAACTCCATTTGGTTTCGCAAATTTAGTTCACGATTCTATTAGGATAAAATTTAAACATAATCATTTTGCACGGCTACCATAGAAGCTTCATCTCCAATTTTGAAGTAAAAATCTCAGCAATGCAAAAATTAGTGTCCCGCAGTGGACTGATCGTTAAGACACAGTTCCCAGCAGATCACCGAAGTCAAGCATCACTGGCTGTGTACAGTGTGCGGGTGAGTACCATTTGGATCAGTCTGCGTAGGGACCGAGGGTGTGCGGTATTGGTCCTCGTTAAACTGTGCTACCGTAAAGTGCTCGACTTCGTGCGCAGGTCGTCGGGCTACCGAAGCGGGGGTGCCATCCCCTCCGCAGAGGATCAAAATCGTGATTGCATGTCTTCGGATCATCCTCCGGGATGTTTCCCAGACCGTCGCCAGTAGCCCATTGTGCAGCTCTAGTGCGACGTAAATTAACAACAACAACAGCAAAAATTAGTAGCTAATCTTAATCCTTTC